GAGACGTACACATTGGGAGATATGCCACAATCACCGGCAGCAGCAAGAACGTGTGAGCAAGGAAGGTGATGAAGCTTCGGCTTCATACAACTGCAGGTACATCCACCATCCGCCTTCAAGACACATTCCTGCACGGCTTGCTTGCGATAGATACCACGCCTGCTCCTATCAACACACATTATTTCATACCGATGCACTTGTGTGCCTTGAGCAACAACTCTATGTCTCCGTGCCTTTTTGATTTTATCTTCCATGTACTTTGTCACTACGTTGCCAAACACTATGTTGTTATCGGCCATGGACGGACCAATTTTCTTGTATCGATCCCTAAAGTAGGCTTGCGTGCCGTGAAGGATGAATTCAACAATAGCAACCAATGGAAGTACCCGAACTCCTCGCATTACCCAGTTGTACACCTCTGCCAAATTGGTTGTCATTATGCCATACCGAGATCCATCGGTGTCGAACAATAGAGCCCACTTCTCCTTAGGCTCATTCTCAATCCACTGAGAGAAATTTCTGATGGCCGACCCTGACCTCCTTCTCATTGTTGGTGGGTCATCATGTAATGCACCAAGAGGTATGGGAGGCTCGTCACCTTCAACTTGTGGTCTGCGAGATTGCTCATCTGTTTGCTTCGTTGTCAACTCATCCAACTTGTCCCACAACTCATTAAATTTCTTCTCTTGGTTCTGTGCACAGAGCCTCTTAAAGAGCTCCATAAGATGCTTGTTCTTGAATTGCTTGTAGAAATTTGCACCCATGTGACGCATGCACCACCGACTCCGAACATCAGGCCACTTAGCTGGAAGTCCCTTCTCATCCCAACCGTTCTGCAAGTAGTCAATAGCCCGCAACATACCCGCATGACGATCATGTATAAGGCAAACGTTGGGCCTCATACGCACCACTGCAATGTGCACTCTCTCTAGGAACCAGTACCAGCTTTCAGTGTTCTCACTCTCTACAAATGCAAAAGCCATAGGTAGAACCTGGTTGTTCCCATCACACCCAATTGCTGTCAATATCTGACCTCGGTATTTACCTGTCATAAAAGTTCCATCTATGCATAGAACAGGTCGACAATGCACAAAAGCATTGATGCAAGCACCCAATGAGAAAAAGGCTCTTTGCAGCACACTCTTTGTTCTATCTTCAACCGATGTAAATGTATGTAGGTCATAGTAAGTATTATTATTCCTCTGGGCAATGGTGGCTAACAAACGAGGCAAATTATCATAAGAAGCTTCAAATGTGCCATACCTCATCTCAATGATCTTTTGTTTGGCTCTCCAGGCCTTTGCATAGCTTATGGTGTACTTGAATTTGTTCTCGATGTGCCTAATAATTGATTTTGGTTCAAAGCCAATGTTACCAACAACACTGCTGTACATCTCACTTGCCACAAAAGCTGAAGTGATGTTTCGGTGATACTTCTCCACCCCTTGTAAGTAGCACTTGTGCTCGGTCACAATGCTAACTTTCCAATAATCATTCCATTTACCCTTATATGCATGGACACGCCACGGACAATCTTCCTTCATGCACCTCACTTCATACACATAATTTGTTGACTTGACCACCCTAAACTCTCTCTGCAATGAAACTGCCCAATGCTTCACCGCCTCCTTCATCTCATCCTTATGAGCATACCTTGCACCCTCAATTACCTCGTACTCCTTATACTCCCAGGGTACATGATCACCCTCTGATATAACAAGACCAGAGAAGTCCTCATTTGCCCAATCAGTGGCCATTACATCACCTTCCTCATCGGATGATGCGTCGTCCTCCGCTTGCTCATTATCCGAATCTTCCCTCTCCATTTCATCAACAATTATACCGACTCTCTCCCCCTCATCCGCCATGCCCATGGCCTGCTCCTCCCTTGGTTGATTTTCCTCATTTTGCATCGATGGTCCAACAACATCCCCTGCATTGCTAGGACCCTCCACATCTTCGGTTTGCATTGAAACATTTGTATCTTTCTCTTGTACCGACACAAATATAACGAGGGGCCATGACCGTTCAAAAGCCATTTCCACATACCGTCTCCAAGCAGCAGTGCTGTCCATCGGCATTAGTTCCCAAAAATAACCTTCTATTGCACGACTCACTACAACAGATACTGACATTGTGTAGACTTCTTGGTCTATTCTAAATCCTCTCAACAACCAACTATAAATTGACTGAAATGTTCTCTCCGCAGGCCTATCGATGCCCTTAGATGTCATTACAAAATCTGACAGATCAACACCATCTGGACCAAATCTAATATTTCCTTCACCGTGAACTATCTGAAATGTGACCTTACTTGACATTGTGCCTGATGAAAACAATAACTGCGTTAACCTCGCATTTCTGTACTACGCCCTAAGTTACATTCTCTACAATATTGTTCTCTAAATTTCTAAAAGTAGGTTACATTCTCCAGATCAAACTAAACTACATCTTACAATTAACACTACTGTCTATGTCTCAATTCATTCTATTATATTCTATGCTCTGGATCTACACATATGTGCTGTGTGCTACAGATCTGCTAAAATATATGGAACTAAAACTAAAACGCAACATATGTACTCAAACGTAATATATTAGTACAAATGCAAAAGATGTATGGGAGCATACCTGTGATGAAGTGAGCGAACCAGCAGGGCTTCGCCGCTCCCCTTCTGCTGCCCTCCCCTCTCTCTCTCTTTCGTTTTTTTTGGATTTTTAGTGAATATAATGAAATTTCATAGGGGAGGGGCTGGGCTTTATAGGGGGGAGGCAAAAATCGCCCTCCCCCAGGGCGGCAAGGGGGCCGCCTGCAAAATTCCATGCCCCCTCGCCGCCCATTTGCAGGCGGCCCCCCGCACAGTGCAAAATCGCCCTCGCGGAGGGCGGCAAGGGGGCCGCCTGCAAATTTCCATGCCCCCCCCTCGCCGCCCATTTGCAGGCGGCCCCCCGCACAGTACAAAATCGCCCTCGCGGAGGGCGGCAAGGGGGCCGCCTGCAAATTTCGTTGACGGCCGTCGCCCGAGAGCGAACGGCCGTCTGCCACGTCATTTTCGCCGCCCTCTGGGAGGGCGATTTTTAAAAATCGCCCTCCCAGAGGGCGGTAGGCGACTATTTCCGTCAATTTTCAAAATGGAAAATTATTTTTGTAAAACTTTTAATAAGAAAAATTATAAATAAAAAAAATTCGTCGCCGCTCTCTGGCCTGCGAAAAGAGGCCCGGGAAGTGGACGATGATCTCACAGGCTGACAGCTTGGGATCAATTTGTTTGCGATTTTGCTATATATTTGTTAACAAATTTTCTCCTAAAAATTTGACAGATGTAATTATAGTATAATCGTAGTGTAATTACACTGTAACTTGTATGTAATTACACTGTAATTATAGTGTAACTTGTATGTAACTTTCAAAAATCTCTCTGTAATATGTTATTTCGGTAAAATGGAGGTTGTGGGAACAAATCCTTACACATATGTGTGTGCTGTGATTTTTTTCTTCCTCACCAAAACAAATCTTGTAATAGATTTAACGATTCAAAATTATGTGAAACTTATATACAAGTTACAGTATAATTACATATAAGTTACAGTGTAATTACACTACGATTGTACTATAATTACATCTGTCAAATTTTTAGAAGAAAATTTATCGATAAACGTATAGGTGGTCCCGTTTGTTTGTGTCGCGTTTTCTGTTACCGTAAAAGAAAAGAAATCGCACCGAATATTCGCATACCACTTTTCGCCGCCACGCTGACGTAGCAGTAGTATTACTTTCACCTCCACTTCGACCATAGCTTTACCCTTTCGATTACTAAACTATATAAACCTCTTTTTCGCCAGCATTATTTTTCAATTGCTGAGTAGGGCCAAGACTTACTCATAACACACATTCACCCCCACACACTCACACCTTGGATCTGTTTGTCACATCTCCAGCTCAAGCTAGAGTTCAGCCAAATAATTTCAGTTTCATAAAAAATAGGAGCAGAACTGGGTGGAGTTTTCTCACAAAATGAACTAGAGAGATGGAGATGGGTTTATGCAGCTCTAAAACTTCACTATAGACTCAACTCCTGAAACTAAATTTAGGTGTCGAAGCTCTATCAAACAAGCCCCTTATCCCTACAAATATCTCCAAAATATCGAAGCATTTGTCTCATTGTTAATTGGCACTCTCTCCGTCCCAAAAAAAACCTAATATAGTATTGAATGTGATGTTTTTAGTACAACGAATCTGGACATACTAGAAAGCGTTCAATCCAATACTAGGTTGAGTTTTTTTTGGACGAAGAAAGTATGTCGTACATCACTGAAAATAATTAGTCGAAAATGATAACACTTTTAGCAAATCTAAGGCTTAAATCCGGATGGATTGGTTTAAGCACAATAAACTTAACCAGTTAAGCTACACTCCCTTCATCTTTTCTTTCATGTACAATGCACAAAACTTAAAACCCACCAAAATAAAAAGTTACAAATCTCACGTCGAAGAAAAATATTTTGTCAATGGGTCGCTTTACTAATTATTACTACTCATGCTTACTTTTTACTCTAACCATGCGGTCTATGCAGCATAAATGCATAATCCAAGCAACAACGCCACCTTTCCGTACCAAAATGCCAAAATCTATCTACCCATCCGTGCAACAGCGGTGCAGTTTCAATGTTTCACATCTGGTTCAACTTTTTCTTTAAACTTTTAATTTTTCTATCACATCAAAACTTTCCTACACACACAAACTTTCAACTTTTCCGTCACGTCGTTCCAATTTAAATCAAATTTTTAATTTTTTTTGGCGTGAACTAAACACACCCTCACTCGCTCGCCATCTTGTCAGCGTACGGACCCTGACGTTAACAAACGATCGCGACCGCTCATCCTCCACCCCCTCGGCTAACCCCACAGCCGTCGGATCTCCAGATCGGAGAGCCCAAACAAACCGCTTCGTCGACTCGTCGCCGTCGTCGTCGTCTTCCTCCTCGCCTCCGTCATCCACGCGCTCACGCTGCAGCTGGGTCCCGCGCCGCTCTCTCTCTCGCGCGCGCTCGTCAGCGTCAGCGTCGCACCAACAACTCTACTAACACCACCACCGCCGTGGCGCCAGCCAGAATTCCTCCCCCTTTTTCTCCTCCTCCTCCTCCGCGAGTGTGAGCCTAGAAACTGCGGCGGTTTTGGGCGCGATTTGGTTTCCAACCACCTCGATTGGAGTGCGCCGGCGGTGATCCGGTTGGTCCATGGCCGGTGGTGGAGGTAGGTGAGGGGGAGGGCGGCGGCGGCGGAGGAGGAGGGGTTTGGGGGGTCGTGGGATGTGGGAGGTGGCGTGGTGGAGGCCCGGGACGTGGGGCGGGCTGGCGATGCGGGTGGGGCAGGTCGCCTTCGCCGGAGCCTCCATCGGCGTCATGGCGTCCGGGGCCGGCTTCGCCAACTACACGGCCTTCTGGTACGGTGCCCTCACGCGTTCCCGTTTGATTTTGGGGGGCGGAGTTTCGTATTTTGGTGGTGTTGATCCGTGTAGTGTGTCGTCTCGTCCCCTCTCTTCGCCTGGAGCAATGCGAGTTGATGATGGCAGATTTGGTGGGTAATTTCGGTTGGGGCGCAGTGAAGAGCATGAATTTTGCGCTCGATGGTTTTGGAACAATTAGTGAGTAATTGGCTTGCGGCCTTCCAAAATTGGGTAGTGAGGAGTGGATGATTCACAAGGAGCTTAGCTAATTGCGAGTAGAATCGTAGAAATGAGGGCCTTTCACTATCAAATGGCAGCTGTGCGTTAGCTGGGAATGTGGTTTACAAGTTACAACCTCTAATAAGATCTGAAAAAAAATTATGAAGCTATCACTATACTATCCAGTTGTTTATGTTCACGAGGTATGTGTACATGTCATAACTTATAACATTGGCTTTTGTTGTTAATGCTGGTTATATCGGCATTCGGCAAAGATAATTGATAATCCCCTTTGGTTTATGCTCTGTTTCCTATTTTTCATATGATGCATGTGGATTTGGTGTACCTTAATCATTCGTATTACAATTCTAGTGCAGTGATGACCTTTTTCTTGGTAACTTTGTATTTAGTCGGTTTTAGTAGGCACCGGTACAACGGTCCTTCCTGTATTCGCACCCTCTTTGGCGCAATCTTCCTTTGAATCATGTAATGAGTTTGTTGTGGCTTTCAAATTTCAGCTACTTGATTGCATCAATGGGATTACAATCATTGTGGAGCTTGGGACTTGCATGCCTTGACGTGTATGCCTTGACAGTCAAAAGGGATCTCAACAATGCTCTTCTCGTGAGTTTGTTTGTCATTGGAGACTGGGTAATGATTAAACTCTGTAACTCTATCACTTATCACTTAACTTGTTGCCTTGGATTTTTTTTTTGTTTGATCCAAAATTTTTTAGATCAGCTCCACTAGATTGTTTGTGATAGTTAGGCACATCCTATATGGTGTTACACTTCCTACTGGAGCAAACACCACAGAAGTGCCATTTAGAGGGTACAATAGAATAGGTTAGGCAACTTCTGTTGATTGCTGTGCCTTTTATTTTCTGAAGATAACTGATTGCTGCAATATAGTGCATTCTACTATTATATGGCAAGAGGGAGCTTGGTTTGTTGTAGTTCTCTTTATTTTCTATATAAAAATACTATTGTTTGACATGGAAATCTATGTTGTTTGCATGGTATGCAACCTGGTTTGGATTGAGTTTTCAATCAAATTGCGACATTTTTTGAGCAATTGGGGTGTCATTCATGCAACCACGTTTATAATTCACAGACTTCAGCAGCATAAATTGACTCCATCTATTTGATGCAGGTAACTGCACTTCTGTCCTTTGCTGCATCTTGCTCAGCTGGAGGTGTTATGGTTCTGTTTAAAAGGGACGTGCTTTTCTGCAGAAGGTATCCACAACTGCCTTGTGGGAGATTCGAACTTGCTGTAGCGCTTGCATTTTTGTCTTGGGCACTTAGTGCTACATCAGCCATTATCATGTTCTGTCTCCTTGCTGCATTCTAGTCTTGCATATAATCCTGTGTAAGTTCTGTTTATAGTGCTGCCTTTTTTCTGTTTTATCTTGTTAGCTTTGATTTTGTATAGGATCATTTTCAAGAATATGTAGTGAACCACACGACCGAAAAGTGGAAATGCTGGGGAAGTTCATAAGTCCTTTAGAGTGAACATTTTCTAGAAACTACTGAATGGAAGATTTGATCGAAATGTTCAGCTCTTTCATGTTGCAACTTCTGCTTCACAACACATCTTCTTTCCCTTATGTTTTGGTTAGTTGTTCATAGTAAAGAAAGACCTTTTTTGAGAGATACCTAACGTTGCGTGCGCTGCTGCCTTATGTACGGACTTGGTGATGCAGCATTCTGTTATTGTCTTAGCATTTTCCTTTGCTACTCCGTAGTTCAAGAATGACGGTATATTGCATTCTTGCAATTACATTGGTAATTGGTGTGGGTAATAGCCAGCTGTGACCAAGCAGGCAGGTATAGGTGGCAGGTCACCTCTGCTTGATAATAACATTTCTGTTTCAATTAATTGTGATTGCGTACGTCCCTTGATAATTTGGTGAGCCCGTGCACGCTTGAAATTTTTTTTTCTGATATATACACTCAAATCAATCGGCTGCCCTGAAAATAATCTCAGAGGTGCTATGTAAATCTGTGCCGCGAATCCTACTGTAACTGATCTGGATCTTTTTCAACATGTTAAGGCCATGGTGGCTGCATCGTTGGCTCGCTGCGTGCTGTCCACAAAAGAAATAAGTAAGGCAATTCTTTTGGGTTAATTGGAAAAGATATCATATTGAACAGGCTTGTAGTTTTAGCATCATTAACATATACGAGGAAAGGAAAGCCACAACTTTTTCAGAGCAACTAATGTTGCATTTTGCATATACTTTACGCGAGAAAGCGGATAATACGCCACTCCATTCGTGGGCTTTCAATGAAATGCTACCCGCCAGAATGAGCGGGAGGCGGGCGAGGATGGGGCGGCGAGGTAGATGGGGCGCTGGCCACTCCATCCTTCTCCCCAATCGGCATCAGAGGAGATGGATGGAGTGGGCGGTGAGCTGCGAATGCTACCGTCCTCCTCCCTTGTCTGCGCCAAAGGCGACGAGTTGCAAGCGTCCAGGTGGGCGGCATTGGACTGCATTGTTGCCTCATCCTCCCTCCGCTCTATTGTCCCTACCGCTACCTTGTCGCCCCATTCTCCTTTCCAAGACGCCACCCGTCCATACACTCTCACCGCCTACGGCAGGCAAGCACTGGCTTGGCCTTTTCCCTGGGCCCCTCTCCCTTCCTCTCTCCAACGGGTAGGGATATTGTGGTCTTTAAACTTCCCAAGGTAAAATATTATGAAGGTAACCTATTGAGTGACATTTTATCCTTTGCATACTAGTAGGTGCCATTTTATCGAAACCCTACTAATGGAGTGACATATTTATCGTTTTCTCTACTTTACGCACACTTTGCATCTCTTCAATCATCGCCTCCTAACCACACTGCCAAGATTTCCCCGTCGCCAATACTAGCCAATCGCTCTCGTGTGACCAAGGCAACGCCACACGACCACTGACACACCACTCACCCCCGAACCCTAAATTGGCATGCCGCCATTGCCAAGGAGGACGACGATCGACGGTGAGTAAATTCGACAGTAATTGTTTGGGTTCTTTTAATTGCCCGGCGAGTAGCAAAGGTGTAATTTTTTCTACTGTGCTTTAATTGTCCTAACCATGGAAATGAAAATGTGAAATGGAGTATTGGAGTGCAACACTGAGAGGACAAATCTTGAAAACTTTGTCGAGTAGCTTTGGGTATAATCACATACACACAGATGCACAAGCTTTCTGTTGCGTCCGTTCTTGTTTGGTGTTAACTCTCATATATCGAGTCCATGGGAACCTGGAGCAAATCACATATGAATTTATTAGCCTGCTGGCAGCAAGTCAATACATATATAGGCACAGCACAACGCACAACATTTCTGATGTATCTTCTCTTCTCAGTGCACGGAAGATTGGAAAAGTTGGTATTGCTGTGAAAATTTGGGAGGAATAATTCATCTGCACGCCAAGTCATTCCGTGGCAACAGAGCTTGAACCTGAATATTGCCGGTTTAGGGGCCCCTTTGAATCGTAGGGTAGAAAAAACGGAGGAATAGAAAAAACACAGGATTCTGACAGGAATTGAAGTGTAAAACAGAGGATTGCAAAACACAGGAAAAACACAGGAATGATAGTTTGATTGGAGCGTAGGAAAACGCAGGAATCGGATAAGAGAGATAGACTCAAAGGAAATTTTCCAAGAGGTTGGAGCTCTTGCTAAATTTCCTCCAAAATCTACATGCAATATGCCATTCCATAGGAATTTCATAGGATTTGGAAAGCTTCAATCCTTTGAATCAAATGGCCAAATAGGAAAATTTTCTATAGGATTTAAATCCTATGAAATTCCTACATAAATCCTTTGATTCAAAGGGGCACATGGCAATATGGCATGATGGCGCGTTGGCACTTCTGAAAAGAAAGATAGGAATTTTCTTTTCTTTTCGAGCCAAATGGGGTCGGAGTTTTAAACACCGGACCCCCTTGTTGCCACGCAGCCGTATCGTGACCGATCTTTGTGCGGGTGCGTGCGGCGAGCACGACGGGCGCCTGCAACGACGGCATGAACCAGCTCGCCGCGGGGGTGTCAAGACCCTGAGTGCGAAATGGAAGAAACAGGGGAAAACAGTGCAGCGATTTTAGGGTTCTAAGCTACTTTAGCTAATCCTAAGACAAAGTAAATTGTAGTTTGCGTTCTGTTCTTCTTCTCCAGGCCAAAGGCCTCCATTAGTAGCTTACAATTCAGGCATTACATCTAGCTGTAAAAACATAAAGACAAGAAAAGTAGCATCAAAACAACATCTGAAGCGTGATTCCTGCTAAAAATGAAAAATGACAACTACAGTGGTCTCCAAGTGATCTCGTCCATCCGATCTCCCTTTCTTTTCTCCATTGCCGTTGGATTCATTACTTCACTTTTGAATCGTTCTCTGAACATTCTGAACTTCTCTGAATTCCCTTGTCTGAATTTGGTCCAGAATTCCATTTCCCTCTTATGCTCCTGACAATACCCCCTCCTCAATAACAACCTTGTCCTCAAGGTTGAAAATTTGGAAACACAGCTTGAATGTATGATGCGTCCTCCCAGGTAGCGTCTGCAGGAGTTAAATTCTCCCAAAGAATCAGCCACTGTATCACAGGTTCATTATGCCTGGGAACCATTCTTCTTTGTAAGATAGCAGCTGGTTCAGTCTTGATTTGGCCATCAGGTCCTACTGCAGGTAAATTGGGCATTGGTATAGCTCTAGGCCCCAAATGTTTCTTCAGCTGGCTTACATGAAAAACAGGATGAATCCCAGCTCCCTCCGGCAACTGCAACTTGTAAGCTACTGAACCCATCTTCTCAATGACCTTGAATGGTCCATAAAATTTGGACCTGAGCTTCAATGAGCCCCTGATTCCCATAGCCACTTGTCTGTATGGTTGTAGTTTCAAATACACCATATCCCCCACTTCTAAGGTTCTTTCAGTTCTCCCCTTGTCAGCATAAAACTTCATCCTTCTCTGGGCCTCTCCCATACTGCCCTTCAACTTCTGCAGGATCATTGCTTTATCTTCTAAAGTTACTCTGGCTTCTTCAGAAATATTGCAGGGAATAGAAAACTCACTAATTTGTGGAGGGGGATACCCATACAGAGCTTGAAATGGAGTCATTTGGATGGATGTATGATATGTAGTGTTATACCACCATTCTGCCAATGCAAGCCAAGAAAACCATTTCTGTGGTTCCTGAAAGGTCATGCTGCGCAAATAAGATTCAAGGCATTGATTTACCCTCTCTGTTTGCCCATCTGTCTGAGGGTGATGTGCAGTGCTAAATCTGAGCTTAACCTTATGTATTTTAAAAATCTCCTGGAAAAATGTACTGGTAAATACCCGATCTCTATCAGTAACTATGGCGATAGGCATTCCATGCAGTTTATGTATGTTATCCATAAATATCTGTACCACCTGCTCCACAGTATAAGGATGAGACAATGCTAAGAAATGTGTATATTTTGTTAACCTGTCAACCACCACCAAGATAACATCCTTCCCCTGAGATTTTGGTAGTCCCTCAATAAAGTCCATGGAAATATGAGCCCATGCCATATCAGGTATTTCTAGAGGATTAAGTAACCCTGGAATGTGAACATGTTCTGCCTTAGTAACCTGACAAGTGGGGCACTCCCTGATATAATGCTCTACTTGCCTCTTCAGACTAGGCCAATAAAACAGCTGCTTAATTCTATGATATGTTGCCCTGATCCTAGAATGTCCTCCAAAACATGAGGTGTGGTAGACTTCCAGCAGCAGTTGTCTAATCTCAGTTGTTTCCCCAACATAGATCCTGCCCTTGAATTTCAACAATCCAGATTCACACTTATAGTTTCGTTCTGGATCACCATCAGTATCAATCAGGCTTAAAATCTTGTGTGCCAAAACATCCTCTTCATAACTCCTCTTAATATCTTGTACCTAATCAGGAACAACTACTGTCATGGGTAAACATTGTTCTTCCTTCAAGTTAGGACTTCTAGAAAGAGCATCAGCCACCAAATTCTCTTTTCCAGATTTGTATTCAATTACATAATCAAACTCCATTAATTTCAACAACAGTTTGTGTTGGATCCCTTCTACTAGTCTCTGACTCATCATGAATTTAAGACTCTGTTGATCAGTCTTGATGATTAATTTTCCTCCCAACACATAATGTCTCCACCTTTTAAGAGCTTCCAAAATTGCCATAGCCTCCTTTTCATAAACTGACTGTGCAGCTGCTTTAGGTCCCAGAGGTTTACTGAAGTAAGCTATTGGTTTTCCCATCTGCATTAATACTGCTCCAATCCCTACTCCACAGGCATCAGCCTCAATTACAAATGGTTAACTGAAATCAGGTAGAGCCAATACTAGGCTAGTACACATCCTTTCTTTCAATAATTCAAAAGCCTTCCTTTGTGGTGCACCCCACTTAAAACCATCTTTTTTAAGCATATCATGTAGGGGTCTGCAAATCACTCCATACCCCTTAATAAACCTCCTGTAGTACCCAGTCATCTCCAAGAATTCCCTTACTTCAGTCACATTTCTAGGAGCTTTCCTATTTTTGATCGCACAGATCTTTTTGGGATCTGTGGACACTCCATCTTCTGAGATAATGTGTCCCAGGTAGTTCACCCTGTCCAGCCCAAAATCACACTTCTTCAGCCTCACCACCAGTTGGTTTGCTGCCAATGCTTGCATCACCAACTTTATATGCTCCAGATGTTCAGACTGATTTTTGCTATAAATCAATATATCATCAAAGAAAACGAGCACAAACTTCCTGAGAAAAGGAGCCAAAACCTGGTTCATTAAAGCCTGAAAAGTAGCTGGAGCATTGGTCAAGCCAAATGACATAACATTATACTCATAGTGACCTAGGTGAATTCTGAATGCAGTTTTTGGAATATCTCTCTCAGCCATTCTAATCTGATGATAACCTGACCTCAAGTCTAACTTCGAAAATATTTTAGCCCCATGTAACTCATCCAATAGATCTTCAATTATTGGCATAGGAAATTTGTTCTGGACAGTCTGAGAATTCAACTGCCTATAATCCACACACATCCTCCAGGATCCATCTTTTTTCCTAACCATGACAGCAGGTGAGGCATAAGGGCTGTCACTAGTCCTAATCTCTTCTGTTTTGATCAACTCAGTGATGATATCTTCCATTGCCTCCTTTTGGTAATGTGGGACCCTATATGGTCTGAGATTAGGTGGTTCTGATCCTGCTTTTAGATTAATAGTGTGATCACATTCTCTCCTAGGAGGTAATCCCTTCGGCTCAATAAGCACATCTGGGAATTGTTGCAAGATTTTCTGGATATTTTCAGGAATCTTTGCCTTCTCTTCCACATCTTCACTAATGGCATTTATCTATATGATGCAGCCCAATGCACCTTTTTTAACCATCTTCCCCATTTGTTTGTTGCTGACCTGAAAATATTTTCCAGGCTTGGTGAAATCTTGAATTTCCATCACTTTTCCTCCTTTAGTCACCCTCATCTCTCTTTTCTTGAGATCTAAAGAAATTGGGCTGTACTTGTATATCCAGTCAGCTCCTAGTATGATATCATACTTCTGTAAAGGCAATAGACTGAATGCATTGGTGAAAATTTCCCCTTGAATCTCATAGTCCATCTCTGGCACCTGTAATTCTGACTTTAACTCCCCTCCTCCAGCTACTATCACTTTCTTTATCTTAGTATTCATCAAATGACATTGGCTCTTTAAGGCAAATTTGTGATCCATGAATGTCCCAGTACTTCCACTGTCAATCAATCGTACTGCTTTCCTCCCATTCACCTTCAGCAAAACAGAAAAAGTATCAGGTCGGTCAAAACCATATACAACACTCTGGGATATACTCAGCAGCTCTTCTGCCTTCTCTTCCTTCTTCTCTTCCTGTTCAGCTTCAATGGGCTGCTCCTCTTCTTCCATTTCTTCCCCCAACTCTTCAGTCTCATCACATTCCATCAGTAAGGCATGTATAGCTTGTTTCACCTTACATTGATGCCTTGGAAACCATGGCTCCTTACAAAACCAGCATTTCTTCTCCTCCTTCTTGTCACCATCCATCCTTGGTGGTCCTTTGTTTACCACATTCTTAACTTGATTTCCCCCATTTGGAGGTCTGTTTCTATTGAAATTATTAGCAGCCTTCCTGGAATTTGCAGCCTTCTCATATGTTTTAGCATACCAGTAAGATTCCAACAGACCCTGTGGCTTCTGCCCACAAACATCATGCTTAATTTCTCCTCTGAGGCCCCCAATAAAGCAACTAGTGAAATACTGCTCTTGCAAGTATGGATGGTCCCTCCTAACCAGATCCATATAGTCTTCAAACTTATCAATATACTACTCTACTGTCAATCCATACTGCTTAACATTCTGGAATAATTCTACAGCTTCATGCACATTTGCAGTAGAGAACCTGGTACATAACATAGCACACCATTGTGGCCAGGTAATCACTTGCCATGGCAATCCTATACCCCTGAACCATTTGGCTGCCCTTCCATATAGATGAGCCACTGCTAGGTTGACCCATTGATCCACTGGAGTTCCAGTGATCTCAAAGAATTTCTCACACTGTTTTAGCCAGTCTACAGGATCTTCACCAGTAAATAAAGAGATTTCCAATCTAGGACCCTTGATTACAGCCTCAGCATAATGATTCCCTCCACTAGTAGGTGCCCCAAAGCAACTCCTCTGTGGATCAACAAAGTGAATTCCCTGATTCCATTGGTTAGGTCCCCTATTAAATCCAGCTTGGAAATTGGGAATACCTCCCTGATATCCCCCATGATTTATAGGAGCTCCAAAAACAGAACCTCCCATTCTACCAGTAAAATTCTCTCCTTGAGTAAACACAGTTGGCTCAGGTCGAGTGGTGTCAACACCTGGGCCACTACTGCCCCCCATTTGACAAAACAGACTCTTCTGATTCATTGGTGCAGAGGGTATCACAACGTTGGGTTCGATTTCAAAACGTACCTCAGGTGCAGTGGAGGGAAAAACCACTCCAGTACTCGGCCCAGCAGCGTCAGTACCCTGTCCCGTTGATCCCTTAACTGCTGTAGTAGCATCTGCTCCTTCTCCACCCTGATCTGCCATTTTCTTTTGCTTACAGAGTTCACGCAGCAGCTCTTTGATTTCCTTGACCTCCCCCTTGAGCGATTTCAGATTTGTTACCTCCTTTTTCAGGGTCACCATGTCAGTCCTGAACTCGTTCATCTCTTCCAAATCCACCATCGATTCGCTGGAGCGCGTCTTCGTCATCTTACTCTACAGGATTGGTTTGGAACAAGTTCCTCCCCACTAGATCCTATCAGAGATGGGTTTACCACCGCCAATTCTTAGTTGCGAGCTCCGGAGATTTCATAGGGGCACACACCTTGGTGGCTCCCAAACCCTTGCTCGAGCAACCAAGAACACCACCACGCCTCCGGATTGATTCTGCCCGGGTTCAGGAATTTTACGATGGATCTCACCGCCGCCTTCCACCAACCCTCACCGGACAAGATCAAGAGCCAAGAATCGTGCTTGCTCTGATACCTCTGTCAAGACCCTGAGTGCGAAATGGAAGAAACAAGGGAAAACAGAGCAGCGATTTTAGGGTTCTAAGCTACTTTAGCTAATCCTAAGACAAAGTAAATTGTAGTTTGCGTTCTGTTCTTCTCCAGGGCCAAAGGCCTCCATTAGTAGCTTACAATTCAAGCATTACATCCAGCTGTAAAAACATAAAGACAAGAAAAGTAGCATCAAAACAGCATCTGAAGCGTGATTCCTGCTAAAAATGAAAAATGACAACTACAGTGGTCCCCAAGTGATCTCGTCCATCCGATCTCCCTTTTTTTTCTCCACTGCCGTTGGATTCATTACTTCACTTCTGAATCGTTCTCTGAACATTCTGAACTTCTCTGAATTCCCTTGTCTGAATTTGGTCCAGAATTCCATTTCCCTCCTATGCTCCTGACAGGGGGTTCGACGCCGACGCCGCGCTCCCTCCTGGCCGACGACCTCACCGCGCGGCTGCGGGCAGGGCAGAGGCTGGGCGAGGAGGCCCCGCACAAGCGCAGCGGCCGCGACCGCTACGTGTGCTCCGGGACAGCGTGCAACCGCCGCAGCAGGCCCTCAAGCACGGCGCCAAGGCCTACTACGACGGCCCGGCCTAGTTCTTCTGTTCAGCTGGATTTGGTTTACTACTCCGTCCAGGTTCATAATCCTTGATGTTTTAGATAATGATATGGCCTCTAAAATATATCTTTGATGACGATTTTGTTTTATATTATGTAAAGAGTTGAATAAATATATAATTTTATTAAAAATACTTTTTAATACTAAATTATACATCATGCTATAGTATCTTCAAACTAAATATTTTAAAAATTGTAATTGTCTGACCTTATTCAAAAGGTCAAGAACCTATGGAACCAGAGGTTTCATTAATTCTCATTTCTAAGATAATTTTAATGAACGTATTGTGCTTGGGTAGATTGAAGCCCAATGTTAAGATTGCAGCATGAACTAGATTGAAGAACTAAGATTCTATAGGATACAATTTTAACACTTTCCTCTCTCTTTTTTTTGGCAACCATGCATGTATATATACGTGCTTTGTACATGTACACACTTTTTTTATTGCCATATTCCTCGATGGCACTATACACAACTCTCAACTTTCCACTCTAATTATGGTGCAGAGATCTCCTTGGGAGAACTTGCACCCATGCATCATTTCTGCACATTTTCACAAATCACAATCTAAAAAGAAAAGAAATAGAAAAAAAACAGTAACATATACTGCAACTTATGCTAGTATAATATTCACAGTTGCTCAATCTGCATGCATACCACAATTAATCTACCAACCTCCATTCCTACCACCTAAGCAAGTCTTCACTTGCTTTGCTTCCATTTGAGTTGCTTAATTTCTTCTGTTGCCAGTTGCCACCTTGCACTTCCATCACCATGATATGATTCATGGTGTTGCGGTCGCCGGCCGACGGTGATGCACCGTGCACCGCAGCGGGGACCGACGCGGCGCCACCGCGTCGGAATCAGCCGTCGTCGCCTGAGAGAAGAGGACGCTCATCGCCGCCTGCTGCTGCTGCTGGTACCGACCGGAGTCGCCGGGGAGGCGGAAATAGGACGACGGCGACGGCTCGTCGAAGAAGAGGTCACCGACGGAGACCTGCCCTTCTTTCCTGTACTGCACGATGGCCTTGTAGATGAACGGGATGAAGCCTTCCATGATCAGAATCTTCAGAAGCTCTGTACTGAAATTTTCAGAAAGAGAGTTTAATTTGCTGGCTTCAGAGAGATGGAGAGAAGTTGTTAGGACACTTGAGAGAGAGGTTTTCTTTGGGTGGCAATGGAAGGTGATGTGGGCTTAAAAAGGGAGGGAAAGAAGCCTGAACTGGATAGAGACCAAAATGGAGTACTTGTCAAGGATCTAACTGAAACTACTAGTATTATAGCTAGGCAATATGCTAATGCAATTATTAATTTTCCTCTTGACAGACTTGAGCTTAACTCTGAATTAAATGTGTCATGTTCAGAGACACAGGGATGGCTTTCAGGTTTTATCTTGTTAATAAATAGGGTTTGTGCACTGGGATATTTCCTGCAAAAAAGAGGCCAAGACTTGAACGCAATGGGTGTTTCAGTCTTAGAAGGCGAGTTTTACAGGTGGACAGTGATGTGGTGAGTGCAGGGATTTCTTTTTCTCAAATTTAACCCTTGGAAGCATGCATATATGGGTTACCTGCTACAAAAGAAAAGAAAGCTCCCTCTTTCAGATCATGATTGAGCATCAAGATGAAGTTTTTTTTTTAATCTCATGTTTTCCGGTGGCGTAATCGGTTGGAAAACAAGAATTTTCGCTTCGACTTGCGTCACTCCAGCCGACTCTGCCAGGTTAAGCCAAGGCAATCAATCAATTCAGGTGATGACTTCTGAATCACTTGTTTTTGAGTTGTTGCATACCAAGGATGATTAGAGTAAAGAAAAATTTGCAGTTCGTGTGGCTAAGAGAGAAGAATGGAAGGACGACTGCAGAATTGACCAGCTTAAAGTAAGAGGATAGGTTTTGTACTCTTGTTTATTTGATCGTCTGGAAGACGGAAGATGCCGATCAGACGACAGTTCATACGGATGGATATTTCATCGGCTGCCAGTTGTGCTGTGTCAGCAACAAGCTGATTTATCTTTTACCTGGATAGCTGCATCTGAGAAGCTAGATGGCATTTTAAAATTGGCACTGATGTGTTTGTCCCAACTAACTGTATTTAGATTGGGATCAAGAGACCACAGAATTCAGCTAGGTTCACAATTTCGGTTCAAAATTCCCGAAACATTGGGTCTACCTGAATTTGTTTAGCTTTAGAAAATAAAAATGGTTCAAATTCAGTGAAAACCTATTCAATCTTTTTTATACTGAAAAAAACAGATTCTTCTGAAAATTTAGAATTTCAAAACTATTTTGCATTCCTAGGTTCTGAGCCCTGAGTTCAGCTAAAACCGGATATGCCCGTCGTTTGTAAAACCCCAGGCTTGAGATTTCGCATCAAGATTGCATACGGCCGCTTTCTTTGATATCCAGCATACTGTGCCTGAAACAGTTATCTCCACAATCCACATGCCGTTATCTGATCTACCAACTTAGGACTTAAGAGCGACAGTTTCGCGAGTAGTAGGAATGATTATCCCGTGGGTGATCCGTTGGTGGACAAGGTTTTTCTGTTGGCGCTGCCGGAAAATGCAGATAGTTGGTACTTTTTGGCGGTCGAACTCGACGTCGACTCGGCACCAAAAACGGGAGGACGAACTGAGGAAGTTGCATCCTAGGCGACTTGCAGATATATTTTTTAGGCTCTATAGGCTTTACCAGGACGCCGGATACTGCCTGTTGGATGTTGGCTGATGGATGGAGGATGGAAGAAACAGTTATGTAACAGATACATGAAACGGACTGCAGGTGTGAAACAGTTATCCCAGTCTAACGGCGACAAAGGGCTCATCTGGGATGAAGCCAAGGAAAGGCACTAGTGTACTATTCACTTCATCCAGAAGTCACGTGTTTATTTTATCGTTCAGATCAATAAGAAATTACTCCCTCCGTTCCTTAATATAATGGATTTTTGACATTTTACTTACACTGTTTGACCAAAAATAAAAAGTTGTGCTTAAAGTACTTTGGATAATAAAGTAAGTCACAAATAAAATAAATAATAATTCTAATTTTTTAAAATAAGACGAATGGTCAAACAGTGCAAGCAAAATATCAAAATCCCTTATATTAGGGGACGGAGGGAGTAACTTATTTCACATACAACAAAACCAAGCATTGTATGTCTGTACGCATGTATGCAACTAGCGAGTATTAACTATTAAGATGACTAAATCTGGTTAACAATTTAATCTATCATTACACAACCTGAACCTCTTCATTTAAGTATTTGATAGAAGAAGACTACAAATATAACTATCTGATTTGTAAAACCAGGAAATAAAATATGCTTAAAACTTTTGTATGGAGAGAGTACTCTCTACTGCATTAGAAAATAAGGCAAGCATGACCACATAGGGATGGAGCAAGGTTCACAAAACCAAAGAAAACTATTCAATATTCTACAAGTTTAAGGTTTTGATCTAGCTTGAGTTGACAAACCGTTTAAATTCAAAAAATTAGACTGATTTTTATTTCTTTTTGGCAATTTGTGTAGGAGTTTTCATGAGAAATGATAAAAACCACTTAGGAGCGGTTTTCAATCAGTGGATGATTTTGTGAACACTAGGATTGCACAAAGGAGGCATTGCGGAACCAAGAGCTCTAAAGGCTTCCCCTTTTAGTGCCCCTTTGAATCTTAGAATAAAAAAACGGAGGAATAAGAAAAACACATGATCCTGACAGAAATGTAATGGTAAAACAGAGGATTGCAAGACACAGGAATGATCGTTTGATTGGAGCGCAGGAAAAACATAGAAATCGAATAAGAGAGATAGACTTAAAAGTTTTTTTTTTCCAAAAGGTTAGACCTCCTACTAAATTTCCTCCAAAACCTATATGCAATGAGCCATTCCATAAGAATTTTATATAATTTGAAAAACTTCAATCCTTTGAATCAAATGACTACATAGAAAAATTTCCTATAGAATTTCAATCCTATAAAATTCTTTCATAATTCCTTTGAATCAAAGGAGCCCTTAAAGTCTCCTATGGAGTTTTTTTCATTCGTAGGAGTCTGCAAACCGCAAATTTAAGATGCAGCTCTGCATACAATAGTTCATAGATGATCAAAAAGGCCTCTTTCAAAATTGCTCAAAGGAAAAGGCTATACATAGAGAAATTTAATTGCGAAACTCTTACAGCACTAAAGTAGCATGCTATGAGTAAATCTATATTTCTTGTAGCTCCTATTTAGTTAAATCAAATGGTTGAATTTTCTTTATAAGAATTTATTTGTTTATAAGACTTTATTAAGTACGTAGAGCAGTGTTCGTGTTAAATAAAATAAAATAAAGGGCCTATGTTGAATGAAATGCTTTTTCATGTTCTACTGAAAGAGGAACACATGGCGTTTGTTTAACTCCACTTTGATTTGGTAGTTTGTATTTGTTAGACAACTGTCCATATATAAAACAAAAAAAAGGGAAAATCAACGTCAAGCATAACAACTCCTAACTATATATCTCTGGGAGTCAACATGAAGCACTGTGTAGTTTCTACTATGTTAGTTGCTTTTGTAACCGTTTTATGTACAACAACAGAGCATCATACATTCACCCTAGCGTTCAACAAGGTCTACAGAGGTTATTACTTCTAGTTGCTACTCTTTGCATATGCACAGCAACACAAGCTTGTTTACATTGCATTGTAAAAAGACAATGAAAAGAATGATATTGCAAGCACTGCCATGTATGCGCATTGGGGCAGTCGGGCAGCATGGACAGACAGACCTCAAACCTACCAAATTCCTAGGAGAACCGAAAGCATGCATCTTCAATCTTTCATCAGGTAGGATATTCCGCGAGAACCAACGTGTGCCACCAACCGCATGAAACGTTTAGCGGGTTGTACGCTTCCACGGGCACTTGGCATGGTACGTTTCTGTCTGTTGAGTCGCCCAAACCAAGCTGTTGGCACAATTAAAAGTTTCAGACATGGTTCGATGAGTTCCATTGACAGATTTGGACAAAGAGCAGAAGGCCTACCTGACCGTACTTGTTCCAACCCCAGCAGAAGACATCTCCTTTATCTGCAAAAAAAAAAAAAAATTCCTGTTAAATTACAGTGTGCAAACCATTTGAGTACAAATTGAACCTTTGGAAATAAATGTATGGGACCTTAAGGGTACAACGTTCATAGTACAACACAAAATGCTGGATGAAGCACATTCCAAGAGAGAGCAAAACTCTATCAATTGAAGGAAATGCAGAATAGAGCCAGGAGTGTACCTGTTATGACTGCACTGTGTCGGGCTCCACACGAAACACCTCTTGCATGATTATTTTCCAATTTCGAGGCTTCTACCAACTTTGGAACAATCTGCATAAGATTGATGGTCCTGGCATTAATTGATCATTTTTATTTCTAAAACTAGTATCAATGCAGTATAGATTTTTGGAAGTGGAAGAGATTGTCAACAGGACAAATCTACATTATCCTAGTATGAGGTGCCTGAAGATTAGAATTCTACCTCAGCTTGATCTGATCCAGTTCCCAGCTGCCCAAACTGGTTACCTCCAAAGGAATATACATCACCATCAGCAGATGTACATACAGTATGCCATAGCCCAGCTGCTACACGTTGTATCTTCACTCCCATAATAGCCGAAACACACGTTGGGCTTAAAATATCATCCGTGTTCCCTTGTCCACACTGAACAAAAGGGGATACAACAGTGAATAATGTTTAAAAAAAATACAACAGTGAATAACGTTGACAAGAAGCTCTACGGGCAACAGTACATACTAAAAAACAAGCTTCTCCACCAGATTAACAAAATGCATATCTGAACGCCCCCAATAGTTTGTACTTAGTACTGTTTTAAAACACTGGTTACTGCACCAGTCAAATGTTTTCATTTCCATGTGCTAGTCCAAAGGCCCAACACATTATTATCTCAACTCTTTCAGAACACGTGTTACTGCACCAGTCAAGTGTTTCTCGTTTCCATGTGAAGGCTCAACAGGCCCAACAAGATTATTACTTCGTATACTGGACTGTATTCTCTCCAGGCTACCCATTTAATTACTAGCAGCCGCTGTTGATGAAACTAAGCAACACCCCACTTAATTCCAGCAACCTTTAGTCGTTCTTACCGGGTAAACCTACACTTTTTTTTTTTGGGGGGGGGGGGGGGGGTACATTGTCTAAATAGAACCCTTGTCAATACAGTTGATCTGGATGATGACTCTATTCGTATGGTTGGACTGGACCTCTCAGCAAAGTTATTACAAAACAGGAGGTGGTTTGTATAAAAATATGAAAATCAAAATCAAACACAATTTATAACCAGTTCACATATTTGGTATACCATGACTAATGGTTGAGCTGGCCTAGATTACAGGTTTTTTTTAATGCACAAAAGGATATTTTACAGTCACAGAACTCGCAGCATGACTCTTTACAACCAATCAGTTATTATAACAACTATTTCAATCAACATACCAAGCAGAATAGACTAACAGAAAGTTTAATGATTTCATAAAGGTAAACGTTCATCCAAGACAAGTTCAAAATTATTGGTGAAACTTAGTCTTATGCATGCAACAGTAAAGCTAACAAATCTGCAAAATCCAGGATGGAACGAAAGGATGCAACAAAGTAAAACAAACCTGTCCATATAATCCCCATCCAAATGTAAGAAGTGTTCCTGAATCTGCAAGAATAAGTTGATTGTCAAGAAATGCAACAGAAGAAAATTTTATTTAGCATGTATGATTTAGATTGTATCCCGGAAAGTGGAAAATAGAAGGTGATTCCTTTATCATTGGGTTAATGTTATTTTGGCTGAATGTCTTCTAAGAAGTCATCACACAATTTGGTTTGCACTTTGTAACTCTAGAGTGAGCAGTGCTGAAACTACTTCCAAGTTTGCCCACCGAATAATATGATGTCAGGCATTATCTCAGAGTGCTGGGCATCTTAAACACTAAATCACATCAGTCTAGATGATTGATAGTTAATATGCCAGGAACAAAAAAAATGGATTCTAAATTTTTAACACAACTGAAAATGTTCAGGGCCCAAAACATCGGCATAATATATGAATGACGATTGACATTACTTTAGTATGAATAAAAGAGAAATAAAGAAAATAAGAGGAACTTGATTCAAAGAGGTTGAGTACAGTAGAGTCTGACCTGTCACCACAGCACTATGACGGCCTCCACAGGCAATTGCTTTCACGCAAGTTGCTGCTCTATCATTTGTTCCTTCCAAAGTTCTGCTACCCATCACAATTCCTGTACGGTCCTTGCTGTAGAACGCCGATTGAACACAAGGTATGGGATGTGGGGAGGAAACTGTCCGGATCCTAGAGCCTAAACCTAGTTGTCCTTCCCCACCATAGCCCCAACCCCAGACCTGACCAAAATCTGAAGCTTTGGAGAAAATATTTCGCTGATCAGCATGCTTACCTAACCTAGTTGAGTGTGAAGAGAATACAGCAGTAAACGCCCAATATAAGTTACCTGACAGCACTAATGTATGACGGCCACCTGCAGCTACTTCCACTATCTTCACTCCTGTATTAAATGTCACAACACAAGGTGGTGCTGAAAGATTTTCATCACTAGATGATTCACTTTCAGCCCCGTGTTTCGATGAAGATAACCTCCGTCGCTTTGTGCTATCCTCAGAACTTCGGCTTTCAGCAGGACCAGATGCTGCCTTGGTGCTTGTCCTAGACACCTTTGACCTGGGGCTCACTGTAATCGAGTTTCCTATATTACCTCTGTAAACAACGGATGTAGAAAAGCTTATATTTTTTATGTAGAACTGTAAAGAAATAAGTAGTAAGCACCACCACCTTGGTCAGTGGCAACCCCACTTTGCCTTTTATCACAATCCATAGCCCCAGTTGCAGAATGGTCTGCAATGACCCTTCCAGTTGGAACGCATTCTTTCCAACCCCATGTGTAGACATCACCTTTACCTGCTTGAGTGGAATTCAATCAGTGTAATGCAAAGTTATGTGCAGTTTTCACTAAAATGCATGGATCAATACACAACCTGTTATTGCAACACAATGTGCCCATCCAGCGTCAGCCCTTACAATTGCAATATCACTAGGAAGAGGAAATGCCTCCGGAGTTTCCTGAGAGGAACAAGATGTTTACTTCAGTAACAGTTTATAAGTTTATCAAGAACACGTTGGAAACAAACAATTAGCCCAAAGGTACAGAGATACCTCATGCTTCCCAGCAGTCACGTAACTTTGTCCCATATCATCGGTAGAGCCCCAAGTGAAGAGTTTTCCTTGCTCTGCATCAGGCAGATACAAGCTGTGTCAGTGTCAAGCTCAGTTGACGTACGGAGTAAAACGCTAATAGCACACAATCCGACCAAGCAAAAATGCAATCTTCTAATGGTTGACAGAACTACCTAAAAACATAGAATAATCCTTGGAGTAATGGAGTTGTTATGGAAAATTAGTCTAACTAAAAGCAATTCCACAAAAATACACTAGCTGACAATATCACATAACACATTCCCACAACACAATACGGGGCAAAACAGTGTTCTGATATTCTCTGTCGCTCGACCAAAAAAAAAAGTCGAAATCACTAGCTGCTTGCACTATCAATCACAACTTAGTCAGACAGCATATTCCACCCTGATCAACCACCAATCAGGAAAATAGTCATACAGCACATTCCACCCTCATCAACCACCTATCCAGAAAAAAAAATCGGCAATAACTGAACACCCGGCACTAAGCTGCTCACCAATCAATTCACAGACAATCACTCAGATTCTTAAGACCTTTTTTATCCAATTTTATACTCGCGTTTTCATGGAACCCACCATATACACAAAAATCCGCACAACTAACTACTAAACCACTGCACGCTAATCATCCCCGATAATAAAAACCTCACACAAACCACACCAGCACCCTACTAGATCTCCCACGACCCTCTTGGTGCCACAGATCGAACGAACTCGAACGCAACGATAACATCAAGCAATGGAAGCACAGGAACGAGAGAGAAAGGCAACATCACCGGAGACGGCCATCGCGAAGCCGCACCCGCCGCCGGCCACATCCCTCCACGCATCACCGGCCGCCGCGGCCGCGTCCGGCATCCTCACGGGCACCGGCCCCAGCAGCGGCGACCGCTGCTGCGACACCCCGGGCAGGTACCCCCACATCAGCACCACCCGCTCCTTCCTCCTCCCCGCGCCTCCCCCATCCTCCTCCATCTCCTCCCCCTCCCCTCCCCCTCCTCCTCCTCCATTCATCTCCTCCTCCCAACCCAAACCCCCCCTCTCTCCCTCGATCTCACTCTCGCTCTCGATTCTCCTCTCGATCTCTCTCGCTCGCTCGCTCGCTCGCGCGAGCACCGAAAGCGTGTGTTTGGTTGGCGGCGACCGGTGAGTGCGCGAGGTTTTTGGGGGTTTGTGTATCAGTTTCGTCGTGGGGAGGGGCGCCACGTCGGACGCCGGCGTGGAATCCGGGGCGACGTGGCGCGCGCTGGGCCGATGGATCGGGGAGGGGCGCTCCTGGCCAGTAGTTGGGTGGAAGGTTCTGGAAGGGCCAGTTGAGGGGGGGGGGGGGGGGGTTGTGGTGGGCCAGGAGAGTGACGTGTCGGAGTGGCACCGCGTGGGGACCACCGGGGAGTCGTTGGGAGGGTGGGACCCACGAAGACGTGGCTGGCTGTGACAGTAGCACCCGCCAATTTTTTAAGTGTGGGCATGTTCGGATTAGGACGGTGATTTGGCTTAAAGAAATGTTGGACTTGTATGGTTTTGTACCCTACTAATAAGTTGTTAGTGTCAAACTCTAGTCAAGTTTTGGCGCTACTAATATTTTGATAGGTGGAATTGTAAATGTGTGTCTTTGAATTTATGCTAATTGAGAGATAAATTTTAAATTATGGTAAAAAATATTCTAGTATTATGCCAAATTAAGTATAAGTATTACCAAACATTTGTCTTCAAACCAAATCATCACATTTACTATTTATACTAAAAAAATTGGTATGATAACACTTTGGTATCAAACCAAAACGCCCCGTTAAGTATCAGTGTATCACAGTGGCTGCAGCTCACGTAAGGGGAAAAAAAAGTATAATCGCTGATTTAACTCTATGCCTCTTGACTCTCGGTCTCTCGGGTATAAGCTACGGAGTACGAGAGGAGCTGATCCTGCTATTACGAGTCGCTAAAGTAGCACTGTTGTTACGAGTACGTAATAAATGTCGTATTAGGTATGCGAATTTTAGTCCGAAATGCACATAAATGTACTGTTGAAATGCTACCCTAGCACGAACCATGTTGAATGCATTGCTGAAGCGTTTCGAAATGAGCATTTTAAATGCGGGAAAATTTTCGATTCTAAAATGTTACGGTACGGTGTGGAGTAAGAGCAGGTACAATAGCATACTATAAACTAACTATAAACATATATTGAGCAGATAAAAAAGGAAAGAGAAAAGCAGCAGGCTACAGATTTGTAACTAGCTGCAGCACAGACTTCAATACACAACGTGTATATGACAGATGAGACTAGGTATTAGTAGTGTTATATGTTTATAGCTAACTATTATATGAATTGGCTATTAAATTAACTATAGATAATTTGAAGCTACTATTTTTTTTGAACAGTCAGGGCGTTGCCGATGTTTTATATAAAAAAAGAAGTGTTCCATTTTAAGAAGAGAATGGGACCAAACCATACAATGCACAATTAATTAGGAAAACTGGGCAAAAACCATGGCTATCGAGACATTCCACCAGCTAAACTAAGCTACCAAAGAAACGAGAGCAGGACAACCAGGCTCAACACTCAACAAAAAAAGTTCACATGAACATGCAACAAGCTGAAAAGAAAACAAGTTTCCCAAACATTGGCAAATACGCAACGTTATCGTCATCATATCAAAACTTGGGCGACTCCGACTTCGTCAAGAACACTAGGGTCAGGACAGCAACCTAGCCCATGCCAAAGCACAAATCAACTAGGCTCATGTCATCGTTGCCACACGTCGAGCCCCACCGACGTCGCAGCTCCAACTTCGCGACCACCAGTCTCGTTAAAGCAAGGCCTGGCCAAATCGACAAACCTTGTAGCCTAAAAGCTTGTAACCCCATACTAGAACGAAACACAAGAGACGGAATTCAACTCGGGCCATCGTTGCTAAGCTCGTCGACCGCCTCGACGCAACAACTCCAACTTCCCGAAGGCCCTCCTTAGGTGTCAAAGCAGGGCCAAACTAGAGATTGGCTCGGATTTCCAGAGAAACCGTAACACGATAGAACATGAAGGTATAAAAAGACGCCTCGAGGGAGGAAACAACGCTCGCGGGCGTCGCCGTCTACGCCTTGGAGCTTGTTGACTATAAGATACAATCGTAGAGACCAACCTCTTCGATAAATAGAGCCTGCGAGGGTAATTATATGCCCTTGAAGAGTATTATTTAATATGTCCTAAAATATAAAAGATTTTAGTTAGATATGATATATTATAATATTACGAATCTAAACTACTGGAATATATCTAATTCAATCAAAATCATTATGTTTTAAGACAGGTGATGTACTAATATTCAACAGTAATAAAACTTCAATTAGACGCCTCTTTCTAGATAATTCTCGGAGGAACGAAAATCTAATTCAAAGCTACGAGAATTCAAGAACAAGCTAGAATTAATCGATATGATCACTTGGCGTTTGATCCATGCGCCATCTTGTCACAAGATCGCTTTGGCATTTCCAACCAAAGCATCAACGGGCCAAGATAGGCCAACTTCCGAAAGGAAGTAGCCCATGGACGTTTCATTTGAAAAGGAAATAAGGAATCACATCAGCACAGAGTATTACTCTTGATACTCTTGAATCGTTGTAGAACGTTCTGGGCTCCCCGAGACGTGCGATCCATGTTCTAATCGGATCGAACGGCCTAGAAACGCCGTGGTTGAGAGCGCTCTGGCAGTTTCGAGCTGACGACTCGATGACCTTCACTGCTAAAGGATGCTTTCCTTGCTGCAATATTAAAGGAGGACGCTTCGATCGACTCATCATCGTATTCTTGTAGTACTGAAGACTGAAGTCGCAGCAGGTTTTGGTTTGGTCTTTTTTGTGAACAGCCATGTCGTCGTCGATGGCGTCGGCGGCGCCGGAGCCGCCGTTCCGGCCGAGGGAGAAGCTGGTGGAGAAGCAGAGGTACTTCCAGAGCGTGCACAAGCCGACGTACCTGAAGGGGCGCTACGACGCCATCGCCTCCGTCGCCATCCCGCTCGCCCTCGCCGCCTCCAGCGTGTTCCTCGTCGTAAGTCATGAATCAAAGCCTGAAACTCGAGACGCGTTTCTTCCCAAACCTGAAACTTCGGGTGTGTTTAGTTCACGCTAAAATTGGAAGTTTGGTTGAAATTGAAACGATGTGATGAAAAAGTTGAAAGTTTATTTTTTTTTGAAGGACTCGCACAAGACGGTGCGAAGTTCTATTGATAGAGCAGGAAAAAAATTACAAGATTACAACCCTGGAGGATCGTAACCAGGAAAAAAGAAAAAATATACCACCACCCACACACCGACAGCGCCAACACACAAGCCCGGGAGAAGGCTAGCACCGGACCGGCCGCCGCTAAGCGTGACCGACCGCCGCTAGACCAACAATCCACCACCACTCAACCTCTGCCGCCATGTGGGATCACTGCACCAGCGCCCCACCGCCGGCCAGCCTTTATGCGCCAAAAACCGCCCACATCCACCGGCAGCTCTTCCCTCGCGCCGAGGTCGCCTCCTCCACCGCCGGCCGCGCCTCTCGCGCCAAGCCGGCCTCCTCCACCGGACGCGCCCCTCGCGCCAATCCGGCTTCCCTCCATCGGCCGCGCCTCTCGCGCCAAACCGGCCTCCATCTCCGCCGCTCGCGCCTCTCGCGCCGAGCCGGCCTCTGCTGCCATCGGCTGCGTCTCTCTGTGCCAAGCCGGCCTCCGACCCCTCCTCTAAACACTGTGCGCCGCCGGATGCGGCTGTCTGCCATGCCCCCGCTAGCCGTCCGAGATTGCCATGCCTCCCCATACCGTGGTGACGGTCGCCACCACCACAGCCACTGCTGCCCTTCCATCCCCGCCGCCATCTCACCATCCTCTCGTCCTTTCTCGCCGTCGTCGAGCTCCAATGGCACACGGCGCAGACCACCCACCGTGGTAGCCCGCGCCGCCGTCGCCGCGAGCTCGTCACCACCATCGCCGCGACAAACAGACTCCTCCGGCGTTGGTTCCGCCGCCGGCGCGGCCAGGTTCGCCACACCGACGCCATCCCCTCGCCACCTCCGCCGCCACCACAGCAGCCGCTGCTACCCTTCCATCCCCGCCGCCATTTTGTCATCCTCCCGCACCTTGTCTCTATCGTCGAGCTTCGACGACACACGGCGCAGACGGCCCACCGTGGTAGCCCACGCCGCCGTCACTGCGAACTCGTCGCCACCACCGTCGCGACCGCCAGACCTCCGGGCGCTGGATCCGCCGTCGGCGCGGCCAGGTTCACCTCACCGACGCCATCCCCTTGCCGCCCTCGCCGTCGTCGCCATCCCCGCCACCAGACGCCGCCGCCGGTCGCCGTCCCGCCAGATCCAGGCGCAGATCTGGCGGTTTCCTCCGCCGCCGCCGCCAACGCCTCGACGCCGCTGCCACCACCACCAGACACCGCCGCCGCACCGCTCAACCCCGCCGCCGGCTGCTCCACCGCCAGATCCGGCCGGCGGCACGGATCTGGCCAGTTCCGCCGCCCTCGAGCAGGTCCCCCTCCCATGCCCGAGCGCGAGGACAAAGCCCCGCCGCCGCCGTCCTTGTGGCCGCGCAGCTTTGCCGGCAGCCGCTCGAGCGGTGGCGAGGCAGAGGAGGAGGAAAGGGGAGACGAGCGCCGGTGAGGTCGTCGCCTCCCGGTCGCCCGTGGGGGGAGGGGCGACACGAGAGGAAACAGGTCAATATTTTGTTCTCGTGTTTTAGTTGGAAGTTTATTTGTGTATGAAAGTTTTGATGTGATGAAAAAGTTGAAAGTTTGAAGGCATTGACGTGCATTGAGATTTCACTCCAGGCATTGACGTGCTGTTGGTTCTGCGTTTTCGTGTATGCTTGCGTGCAGGGGCGCGGGATTTACAACATGTCTCATGGCATCGGCCGGAAGGAGTGATGAGGCTAACTGATTAGCTATGTGTAACTGGAGGAGCTGATCTTGTGTTACAGTGACAGACTGACAGTGTGTCAGCTACATGTAACCTCTCTTGTGTGTAATTATAGGAGTATTAGTGCTACTTATGTAAACGTGTTGGACTCCAATAGGAGTGAATACTGTTGTCCACTTCAATTGAGCTTGAGTGAGTGATTGAAGCATGGAAAAAAAGAAGCTTGATTTAACGAATACGATCATGATCATGCACCAATCACGCATGTCCGGTAAGCTTTCATTACTCATTAGTGTTTCCAACAGAGAAACACGTGAGATGGTTCTGTCGGAAATGCATTCGAGGCGGAAGGAACAGATCGCCGAACCAACCGTCCTTCGTTGGTTGCGTAAGTTCAGTTTAATCGAGATGCGATGACGAATTATCTAATCGCTGATCGCCTCAATCCACGTCGCAAATTGCTTTAATTTTCTTGTTCTGACCATCCACCAATCACACGAGACATGATGGTCTCACTAAGTAAATTCTTTGCGACGATGATCGCAGGAGTAAATTAGGAGGGAAGAAGTGAAAAAAAATAGAGGAGGAAGAGAATAAGCCAATAATAATGGCGGATCACGGCACCGGCCGGCGGAGATCCACGACGACGACGCTCACGTTGTCGGCGCTCCGCCGGGCGATCGCGAGCTTCGCGAGAAGCAATGCCGCGTCGGCGCACGCCTTGTCGGACTCGGCCTTGTCGACCCCCTTCACCACGGCGTCGCCGCCGCCGCCGCCTGACGCGCCGGCGGGCGGCGGGAGCACGGCTTTGGGGCGGGAGCATCCCGGCGGCGACGGCGGGCCGTTGCTCCGGAAGCACGCCCGGACGACCTCGCACGCCATCTCGTTGGTCACCACGTCCCACAGCCCGTCGCTCGCCAGGATCAGGCACTCATCGTCGTCGGCGCGCTCCGTCACCGTCACCTCCGGCTCCGACGTCACGTACGGCTTCAGGTAGCCGTCCCCTGCATGCGCGCGCCGCCGGCCACCGCGTCAAGCACCACGGCCAAATTGCTCCAAACTTAAAATGATCTAAGCGCGAACGCAGCGCGTACCGATGGCTCGAGACATGGCGAGGACGCCGAGCACCCTGGCGCCGTCCCAGTAGATGACGCGGCCGCCCGCCGCCTTGATGCGCTCCAGCTCGTCCGGCCGGTCCGGCTGGAGCAAACAGAGAGGTGAATACGCAGAAGCAAGCGAGGAAGACGACGTTGGATTAGTGCTTTGCTGCTTACCTTGTGGTCGACGGAGAGGGGGACGGGGACGCCGGCGCGGCAGAGGACGGCACGGGAGTCGCCGGAGTTGGCGACGACGACGCGGTTAGGACCGACGACCGCGACAACGGCGGTCGAGCCCACGTGGTCGCACCGTGCTGGCGTCTGCAGCTCGCAGCGGCAGGCCGGCTCACCGCCGGTGCGGCTCTTGGCCCAGATCGTCGCCTCATCGTCCATCCGCGCGAACCCTTTCTCCATGACGTCCTTCCACGCCGGTGCCGCCGCCGCCGCCTCCTTGCCGGAGACCGCCTTCTTGTACGCGTCGACGACGAGCTCATGCATCCGGTCCTGGCACATCCTCGCGACCTGACGCCACAAATTAAAGAACGGGCTCCGCTTAGCAACACAGCTCGACGTGCATTTGCTGGATTTGGTCATAGGCTCATGTGTGCAATCTGTTTCTTGCGTGCGCGCATGCATACATGGGAGCAACCATGGCCGTCAAAGACGCCGAAGAAGTGGTGCTTGCCGGAAGAGGTGGAGCCCCGCAGGAAGTCCGGCCTGATGGACACGGCGTCCTCCATCTCGCGCCGCCGGCCGAACACGGAGGTGACGCCGTACCTCGGCCACCACCTGGACCCGAACTCCGCGCCGGCCGACGGACGGCACGGGCCTGCGGTCGCCGCGCCTGCGCCCGCACGCGCGCCCGCCACCCTCTGCCGCTTGCCGCAGCGCGCCACACCGGCGTCAGCATCCTCCTGCGGCGGCTCGAGAGAGCCGGCCGCAAAGCGGAAGCCCTCCACCCTACGGCGCCGCCTGGCGATCGCCGTGGCGCCGGCCGCCGCAGCCGGCATCGACTTGGCCGCCTCCTCGCGGCAGATCTCGGCGGCCATGGGGCGTCGTGCCGGCCGCGCGCACGAGCACGAGCGCCTCCCCCCTTCTCCTCCCGCGTACGTCACGCCACCGCCGCTAGCCCACGCACGATAGATATTTCGTCGCAACACCGCGCGTCGCCGTCGTCGTCGCCGTCGCCGTCGCCCTCGGGGGGGCGCTAAAACGAGACGAGGGCGAGGTGGCGAATCGCGACGGAGCAGAGAGCGCGAGCGCGAGGTGGCAGCAGACAGCCGTGTCGAGCTCCCATTCCTTCGCTTAATTTCTTCGCGGGAACACGAGCGTCCGTCGCGGCGGTGCGGCCACGTGGAAGGGGCGAGGGGGGACCCGCTGGCGGTTGGGATGAGTGGGGCCCACCTGTCGGCCGAGCGGCGGGATCGGTGGGGACACGTGGCGTCGCCGCGTGGGCGGGGACAGCGAGCCGACAGGGGAATTTAAAAGGTTGGGCCTCGCACCTACCAACCACGTGGTCCGTCCGACGCGGCGACTCACAAATATCGTGTGGCTTTGTAATCACACCGTTGATCTCGTGGCTAACCTCACTGTCATGTGGGGACGAAATTACGTGGGGGACCCATGGCACAGTTGCACGTTGGAGGATGCAGCACGTGGCATGTGGCCTGCGGGCCGAATCTTGTTCACTGAGCCAGGATGGATGAAATGAATAAGTTCATCGGAGGTCCCTCACCTTAACAGCGAGTTTTTTAATCCCTTAACCACAAAAGCAGAAATATTTACCCCTAAACTCACACAAACCGTGCACTCAAAGTCTTATGATAGTATATATGGGTGGTTTCACTGACGTGGCACCCTAGTTAGCAAAAGAAATATAAAAAGTACGTGGGCCCCACATGTAAGTGAGAGAGTGATGTGGGCCCCACATCTCTCTTCATTTTCTTTCTTCTTTCTCTTTCTCTCTCATTGCTTCTCTTCTCGCCGGCAGCGGTGGCGGCGGCACTCTTCCCCACTGCGTGCGGCGGGGGCGACCTCCCCCACCGCTAGCAGCAGCGGCGACGCTCTTCCCCTCCGCATGCGGCATCGGCGCCCTCGCCCACCACGAGCTGCAGCGGCGGTCGCTCCCTTCCCCACCGCGTGCGGCAGCGGCGGCGACAGCTTCTCGTGGAGGAGGGGGAAGGGGAGGCCGACGAGCCCCCTCTCCCCGTTGCTGCTCGTGCAGATGGCACAGCTACTCTGTGGCCGCGGGACGCCGCGGCGATCTGCCCCTCGAGCATGCCGCGATTGGTGTCAAGCCGCGACAGCCTCCGCGGCACGTCGCTGAGGAGGTTCTCAAGCTCCTCCACACGTAGGAGCGCTGCCCGCGTCTGGTTGTTGTCGTCGCTGCCGTCCATCGTGCCGTCTGCCGGTGCCCAAAGCAGGAGCAGCTACTCCTCCGCCACACCGCCGTCCACCGTGAACCACAACGGCGACCGCCGCCGCACGCACGAGACCGAGACAACCGGCTCCATGGTGGCGAGTGGTAGAGTGGAAACAGCGACGCGCGCCACTCCTCTCCTCCCTCCCACCGTGCGCTCCTCCTCTCCGCCGCCGAGCTCGCCGTCGCACCGACTGCCTCCTCTCCTCCTCTTGCACCGACCACCTCTCTCTCCCTCTCCCGCTGCCGCCACTCCACCGCCGGCCGCCTCTCTCTCCCCTCTGCTGCCGCGCCCACTCGAGACAATCATGAGAGAAGAGGAGAGAAAAAGAAAAAAAAGAAATGTGGGGCCCACACCATTTTCTCTACTTACATGTGGGCCCCACATATTTATTTTATTTTTTTTCTGACTAGGATGCCACATCAGCGAAACCAGGCTTCTATACTACCTCGGGACCTTTTTTTGGACAGTTTTACAAAGTTTTTTCTGGTATTGCGGTTAGGGGATATCAAACAAACTCGGTGTAAAGTTGAGGGATGGCCGGTGAACTTATTCCTGGATGAAATGCCAAGTTAAATGGGCTTATGGGCTTCCAATTTATCTGTGTTACTTCCTCCGTCCCATATTATATGTTGTTCCATTTATCTCAAAATAAATTTATTTTTCGAGTAATCATTGCATTGGTGAAAGTAGAGAATAAAATTATTGGGAGTACATAAAGTGATGAAATTGGGATTTGAAATATTAAAGACATGCCTGTTTGGTATAGCTACAACTTCTAAATTTAGCTCCAAGAGTTGGGTCTAGAGTGGAGTTGTGGAACTGCCTAAATCCAGCTCCACAACTCTAATTTATTTTGTGAGAGAGCTCCACCCAGCTCCACTCCCAGTTTTGGTGGAGCTGAAACTGTTTAGCTGAGCTCCAGCTCCAGAAGAGGTGGAGCTAGAGCTAGAGCTGTGCCAAACAGACTAGTCTTCTTACTTTTATATTTGTGTTTGATAGATGAATTTTGGATGGAGGTACTACTAATCTCTTCTACTGATCCATGGATTGAGATTCTCTGACATAACTTCCTTCTAACTTAGTGGCTGACATGTGGGCCCAATAAATAGTGGTGGGTCCATATGTCAGGCACGGTGAATAGTAACATCAGATGATCCTCTTCCGTGATCCATACGACCATGTGTTTTTCTTTTCGTTGAGTCTAACCAACACCAACCGAGACAAGTTGAGCATATAAATAAGCAGAAAGTAAAGCGAAGCTAGAAGATTTAGCGAATATTTTTTTTTATTCAGAAAGAGCGATAGAACTTAACATCCAACAGAAAACTTAATTTCATTTTAAGCAAAAATTGCCACACACTGACACGCATGCTCTGTGCGATTTAATTCACAGGGAAATAAACATAAACACAGCGCCACAGTTGTTTCGAGTGATGTATGGTAACGTCTTCAATGGCTCACATTGTAAACTTGGATATAAACTTTTTCTTCGGCCTCAGCTGGGAAAAAAAAAAGAACGGATCAGATATAATAGAATGAAAGAATCATATCAGGCTATCAGCTGCCACACATCTTCATATCAAAAATAATTATAACATATGCCCATAAATGATGTATAATCTGACGGTATATAATTAAACTTTATCTTTCTCTTTTTATATGTTAATTTTGAAAGCCTTAAGTTGCAACTAAAGCCAAGAACATGCATGGACATAAAGAAAAGGGGAATAAAACACTTTTGATGCATGAATTGAGATCGATGAGAAGAACTTATATATGGCTCTCTATCACCTCATTGCTGTGGCCGCACTTCTTTTTGCGGCAGTTGGTAGCCCTGAGAGGAAGGCGTGCATAGCACCTGCATTACCAAACGCAAATTCAGGCCATGTTAATTTGAAACTTGAAAGTGCAAACGAACGCCAGTACGCCACACAATTGTATTAAGTATGCATCAATATTCGAGTCTGTATGGTGAAATCATCGGCAGATCGGTCAATTGAAGAAAGGCAATAATGGGAAACCGTGCGTACTTGCGGCAGATCATCTTCTTCTCGTTGTACTTGAGGGCTAGGTTCTGGAGTCTGGGCTCGATCATGGGGGGTAGCCGCCTCTGCCGCCGCCGCGGAGGCGGAGCACCAGGTGAAGCGTCGACTCCTTCTGGATGTTGTAGTCGGCCAGCGTGCAGCCGTCTTCCAGCTGCTTCCCCGCGAAGATGAGCCGCTGCTGATCCGGCGGGATCCCTGCAAAAATTTGAGTTCCAGACAGTGGATTGAGATGATGATCAACTGAATTACCGAAAGAACACGATAAGAGGATCGAACGATGCTCCAATGCTCTACTACTGCTAGAGTTATACTTACTCCGTTTCAGATTATAAGATGTGCTTAAAGTCAAACTGCTTCAATTTTAACAAAGTTTATAGAAAAATATAGTAATATTTACATTGCTAAATTAGTTTTATTAAATTAATAATTAAATATATTTTCATAATAAGTTTATTTTAGGTCGAAATATTACTATTTTTTCAATTTTAAATAGTTTGATTTTAACCAAAGTCAAAACATCTTATAATCTGAAACGGAGGAAGCCCTATGTAACTATGTATATATTGTGGAAGGCCCTACGCTTCCGGCGCCCGATGCTTTGGGGGAAAAATCGGGCGCTGACGTCATGCTAACGTCAGCGTCCGATTTACGTGCAAAAACTACTTTAAACTGATTTTTCTCTTAAATTACTTATCCAAATCATGATCTGATTGCACCATTAAATTCGTTGCAATTAAATCTTCAAAACAAGACCACACATGGATATATTCCGACGAAATTTTTTTAGCTTATTATTGAATTATTTTTAAATGTTGCACGATGTTCCACCGGGTATATCGGAATTGTTTCACTAAGTAAATCGAAAATGTTTCACTCGTTTAAATCGGGTGTTGTTTCACCTTATATAAAAACAATGTTTCAGTTCACTGCAACATTTGATCTATACATAGTGAGACATTATAAGTACACTAGGTGAAACATTTTTCGGTAGAACAAAAAATAAAACGAATTCCCTTAATAGGGGGTTTCCAAAATATGTGGGGTTTTTTTTTGTTGCAATGGAGTATTTCAGTTCACTGTAACATTAGATTTATACATAGTGAAACATTGTGGGTACACTAGATAAAACTTTTTTTTTGGAATAAAAAATAAACAGAATTCCCTTAATAGGAGGTTTCAAAATATGTGATTTTTTTGTTGCAATAGAGTATATGGTGAAGATACGTGGCAAATAGTAGGGACACATGGTGGGGTCCTAATAGAAGCACATGAACACGTTGTGGAGGGGGGGAGGGGAGGAGCGCCCGATTTTCTCCCCCTCCCCCGGGCGACCGAGCGGCAGCATTTTCGATATATTGTATGTTAGTATACCTTCCTTGTCTTGGATCTTGGCCTTGACGTTGTCTATGGTGTCGCTGCTCTCGACCTCCAGGGTGATCACACGAAGATCTGCATCTTGCCTCTCGCCTCCTCGATCGACTGGTGGTGGTGACTGGAGATTTTCGGTAGTGTTCGTGGTCATCTCAATTTATATAGCGCGTACGAAACTCGACCGCTACGAAACCCGAGAGTTCCAAAAGGAATTAGAAAAGGGAAAGAGAGGAAGAAGTGGCACGATCAACACGTACCATAATTAGGGTGTACGTGACCCTTCTGAGTTGAACTCGACAGCGGCCCAGATATCCGTCCAGGCCAGCCTGCAAGCTCAGCCCATAATCCAAACGGCCCGTGCATGAGATCCCAGGCCGGAAATACACGGGCCGCGTAGCCATGCCCAATGTGGTTTGGAATAAGTTCATCTGAGGTCCCTTAACTTATTAACGAATCCGATTTTCGACCTTCAACCGAAAAACCAGATACAACGGGTCCCTCAAC